AGTCGTCATCCCGCCAATCCGGAGTTGATCACTATTTTACGTTTCCAAGCTTTTCCCAGACGCTCAACACTCAAATCCCCCACTAGATCTCATCGTCAGCTACATTTTCCGACCTCACATCGATAGGTTCTGATAAGCGGTTCTCGAGATTTCGAGCAATTTAGGCAAGGCTCAGGATGATTAGATTAGACGCTCGACGCTCGACGCGACTATTAGAGAAATACAGTATTTGTATTTTCTCTAATTTATATTCAGCCTCTCCCCCGGCCGAGCCGAGTTGACGGCCATTTTACAGTTCCCAAGCTTTTTCCCAGAGGCAACACTCAAATCCCCACTTTAGCATATATTCTTGATGATCTTGAAGCTCCTAGTGGATCGTTGACGTATACCCATCTATTACTTAATCTATTACATACATTATATCGTGTTGCTTTTTATCGAGGCCCTTTTCGTGTTATGTGTAGCGCATTTTATCTCTTAAATCTAGCGCACTTGATCTCCGGTGCTGAATAAAGTATCTATATTATTCTCTCGATTCTCGGTGTCCGATCAAGAACATAGCTCTAAGAGTAATTGCTTTATTGAGGTTGTTTTTCTTGATCTAAAAATCATGCTTTTTGTGAATTCTTCTTCTTCTTTTTCTTCTTTTTCTTCTTTTTCTTCTTCTTCCTCTTCTTCCTCTTCTTCCTCTTCTTCCTCTTCTTCTTCTTCTTCTTTATTCTTCTTCTTTTTCTTCCTCTTCACTCTTCTTCCTCTTCTTCCTCTTCTTCTTCTTCTTCTTTCTTCTTTTCTTCTTCTTCTTCCTCTTCTATTCCTCTTCTCCTTCTTTCAAATAATGACAAATATAAACGTTATTTTATTTGCACAACATAAATCTTATCATCAAGAAAAAGAAAAAAAAGTTTAAAATAGAAAATTCATCAAGAAAATCTTTTGGCAAATAAAAATGAAAAGAGAAAAATTCTGGCAGATTTGAGGATAATTGTAACAAAATTTCATTGAAAAAAAGCTCTTTAAAATAGGGGTTTTACAAAGATTTTTTATGCCAATTTACATTCAATTGAAAGGGAAAAGGAAAAGGATTTTCGGGTGGAAATCAGGGCAAAACGTTGCCCGTTTCTCGAGAAGCTGAAGATCATGATGAACGGTGTTTATCGAATGGCAAGAGCAAGAGCAAGAGTTTTGGCAAGAGCTTTTTGCAAGAGCTCTTTTTGGAATAACTTTTATGGAATAGCATGCAATGCTTCTGCAATAACCTTTGCTGATTAGCTTCCTTTACAATTCAATAGCTTTTTGCAACAACTTTTAGAAAAGAGCTTTTTTGCAATAGCTCTTTTGCAGCAACTTTCCAGGAAAGCTTTTCTTTATAAACTTTTATTCCTATACCTATCTTTTAAAATTCAATTTTCACTTCAAAGAAAAAGCTCACAAAAAAAACAGCTTACATCATTGAGCTTGTCGATAAAAGCGATTACTTCAGCCTTTAGACTGACATCAGCCTTCAGACTGCCTTCAACATCAGCAGCTAAGCTTCAGCCTTCAGACTTAGACAACTTCGGGGGGCTTCAGCCTTCAGGTGACTTCAGCCTTTAAGACATCAGCCTTGGGGCTGACATCAGCCTTCAGACCCCAACTTCAGCCTTCAGACCAACTTCAGCCTTCAGACTAGCTTCAGCCTTCCAACTAGCTTCAGACTACCGTCAGCCTTGAGCTTGTCGATTCGGGTTTTTGTCTTGATTTTCAAGCGAAAATCCTTGTAAACTTTTGAGGATTCAAATAGAAAAATGGCAAATACAAAAAAAAAAAAAACAAATGAACAAAAGAAATTCTTTGGGCACCTGAAAAAAAAACGACTAAAATGTGTATGGAAATAGCACAAGTCATTAAAAAAAAAAAGCGGAAAAAACATAAAAAGCGAAAAATTTCACAAATTCCTTAATATTTCAGCTAAACATTCAGCTAAAAGATTTCATTTAATGGCATTTAATGGCAATTTTATGCCATAGCCTGAATATCTTTCCAAAGGGGGAAAGCTTGAATATCTTTAAAGGGAAAGAGAGTCTAAAAGAAAATGGGTTTTCAGAAGGGAATTTCAAATTTTTTGAACCCACCGAAAGACTCAAAATTGGCGAGCTTGAGGGGATTTTTTAAAAAGACCTTTATTTTAGGTTTATTAGAGTTCATTTAGTTTATTAGATTAGATACAGTACTGGACAATGAAATATCATAGCTGAAAAACGATCGTTTTTCGATCGTCACTTTCAGCGCGTCTGTAACTCGCTTGTCTTTGAGTTTAAACTATTGAGTGTTATATATTTTCTGAGGGCTCTTTTCAAGGGCTACACAATGGTAATATTAATATTTTGAAATACGGTAAAGACAACGGAGTTACAGACGCGCAGCATGAAATCTTTATAAAGTATCATATTTCATTGTCCGGTAATGTAGACTAATTAATTTCATTAGATTCATTAGATTTATTAGATTCATTGGATTTCATTTAGATTCGATATTTCTTCAAAAACAATGGCAGTTTTATTGGTTTATAATTAAAATTTCCCTAAAAATAAGTGAAATTTGATATTTTCTGAAAGTTTTACAAAATTTTCCTCAATTTCTCAAAAATTTCTTTTTTCATAATATTTTTTCAGAAAATACCCTTTTTAAATTGAATACCTTCTTCGAAACAACAAAAAACAAAGAAAACAAGGGGATGGGACAAATGCGACTTTTTTTGCGCACCTGGACATTTGCGCACCTTTTTGCCTGGAAGGCCTTCGGAAGGTCGTAGAGCTTCAAAAATATTCCCCTATAAGGGAGTCGTATGCGTAGATTCCGAATTTCAACAAATCCAGACCTCGCTGACACGTCAAATTTGGGCTAAAGGCCAAAAGCTACCTACGCAACTTAAGGCTTTTCCGCAGTTTTTCCTTTTGAGCTCAAATTTGACGTGCTAGCGAGGGTCTGATTTGTTGAAATTCGGAATCTACGCATACGATTCCCCACTATATGGAAGCTTTTTTGGTAGCTCTAAAACCTTTCTAAGGCCTTCCACCAAAAAGTGCGCAAATGTCCAGATACTGCGCAAATAAAGATTTCGTTTATCCCACCCCAAAACAAGAAAATTGAAGCAAGGAAAACGAAGAAAACGAAGAAAATTGATGAAAAACCCTAAAAAATTTAAAAAAAAATAAAAATATAAAAAAGGTTAGCGAGATTTCAGGAGCACAGATTTATAAAAAAGAAAAATAAAAAATTTTTCTGAAAATATTTTTCACAATTCTCAGGAAGCTCTTGAGCGGTAAAATGAAGAAAAAATGAATAAGAGATTGAGAAGGGTACCGGTTGGGGGATGGAGACGGAAATCGTTTGGTTTTCCGTAATTCTACTCATTTGTTCTACTCAGTGTTAACTAGAAGAGTTACTAGGGAATGCTTCGAGTTACTTGTGAGGAGGCTAGAGCTAGAGCTAGAGCTAGGATAGAGCTAGGCTGAGTCTGACCCTGGTAAGTCCTGATTTAGGGGGCCACAAGAGAATTACATACAAAAATGTTAAATAGGGCTGGGCTGGAGTCTAGGTGGCATAGGCTAGAGTAGTCCTGGAAACTAAGCAGTTCTATATTGTCAGTTTTATATTGTCATTCTATTGGGCTGGGGACTATGAGCTCAGCCTAAGACTTTAAAGAAAGTTTTTTGCATAAGAAGCCTTCTTTAAATATAATTCTTTCATCAAAAGGATCACTATTTCTCTAAAATGATTTAGAGAAGTCCACAAGTTCTTCGTGGAGTTTATGAACTTTCAGGCTCACTGATCAAAGGCCAAAAGGTGGGATCTCAGGCGTTTGACACAGGTCTTGTCGCATAAACCTTCCGGAGTCTATGTAAGAAATGAGCACATTCAATTACATAAGTTGCTGCTAGGTTTTGGCAGGAAGATCCCTCAACCGTTTTCTAGATGAACTTTGTAGTTTTTGTAGAAAAATGGCCTTTCTTGAGCTACGAGGCGCGGTTGAGTTTTCTTAAATTCATTTGTAGGATTAGCTATAGTTTTCTACTGATAGTCAAACGCGTTCTATTTGACCAGGTCTGCTCGATGTTTTGAAATTTTTTTTTGTGATGTTCGGCGCCAGTCATAGTCCCCAACCCAATATATTGTGAGTTCTATATTGTCAGTTCTATATTGTCATTCTATATATTGTCATTTCTATCTTGTCAGTTCTATATAATGGTTGTCAATTCGAGCCTTGGGTTGTAGAGAAAGCTAATATTCTAATGTCAGAATGTCCAGCTATATTGGGTTGTCAGAAACTGTGTCTCAGAAAGCTGAGAACTGTATTATCAGTTTCCATTGATAAAGCTCAACGTTTTTCTAGGAATTTTCGAATTGCTTAATATGTCAATAGGACACACGGAAAAAAAGTGAGTCGTCAATCAATCGGACACGGAAATTTTTCGCCCGTATTTTCACTTCAATCTTTTGTCTCTTTTGATTTGAATCGATAGAAATTAGAAATTGAATTAAATTAAACGAAAAATTAAACAGGAATTCAATCCAATTCAGTGAAATTAAACAGAAATTAGATTTAGATTCTGCATAAAATCATGTTGAAATCGAGAAAATTCGGGTGAAATTAGCTGAGATATGACATTTTTCGTTCTACACCTCTAGGCAATCCCTATACCTGCTTTTTACTATTCTAAGGCAATTCGAAAATGAGCCAAAAATTCAATTCGAGAAAAGCCAAAATAGCCAAAATTCAATTCGAAATAGCCAGAATAGCGAAAATTCAATTCAGAAATGGCCAAAATCCCACCAGATTTTCCATCCAAGGGCACCAGTGTTCAAAGGATTTTAAAAGAAAAACAAATTTGTTTGGCAAAATAAATATAAATATTAGATGTTGGTCCGATTGATTCGTTTCTTTTCCTTTTTCTTCTACAGTTCGTTCTTTTCCTTTTCAGCTTCTATACATCGGACATCTTTCCCTCTTTGTTATCTCAGTAATTCTCTCCAGAGTTTCTTCGCCAAATCGTAACATGGCAACTCACCAGCATGGTGACATTCATTTCTGAAAAAAGTTTTTGTTTTGTTTAACTTTCTCTTACTGTTTAACCTTTTTTGTTTAACCTTTTTGTAAACAAAGCTTTTTTATTCCTAACGTTTATAAGAATATTTTTTTTTTGATTAATTGGGCATACTCTATAGAGATAGACCCTACAAACAACAAGATAAAACATGAACTAAATTACAAAGCCTAGTGCTTGACAGGAAGGGAAGTTCCGACATGGGAAACCCAAACCTAATTTCACCTTCCGTTTTCCTTGGCCGATTCTTGGCCGATTCTTGTCTGATTCTTGGCTGATTCATGACCGATTCATTGGCCGATCCAGGGCCGATTCATGACCGATTCTTGGCCATCTCTTGCCCGATTCTTGGTCGATTCTTGTCGACTCTTGGCCGATTCTTGACCGTCTCTTCCGCTTGGTCGATTCTTGGTCGACTCTTGGCCCTGGATTCTTGACCGTCTCTTGCCCGGTTCTTAGCCAATTCTTGGTCGATTCTTACTTGATTATGGCTGATTCTTGGCTGATTCTTGACTGTCTCTTGGCCAATTCTTGGCCATCTCTTGGCCAATCTTTGGCTGATTCTTGGCTGATTCTTGACTGTCTCTCGCCAATTCTACCATCACTAACCAATCTTTGGCTGATTCTTGGCTGATTCTTGACTGTCTCTTGGCCAATTCTTGGCCATCTCTTGGCCAATCTTTGGCTGATTCTTAGCTGTTCTTGACTATCTTTTCTTTGGCCGATTCTTGGTTGATTCTTGGTCAATTTTTCAAATTTTGTATACAAGCAGAGAATGCCTTGTATTTGTAGAGAAAATTTCAGAGCAATCGGTGGAGAGACGGCTGAGAAAACGAAGGTGGAGTTAGGTTCGAGTTGGAATTTTCCCCATTTCTACAGTAGACTGGTAGGGATTTCTATCCTACAGTAGACTGGAATGTCTATAGTAAATATTAAACTGGAAGACTCCACCTCCTCACCTCCAGTAGAAAACTCCATCTTGGCGTAAAAAGTGAAAGACGAAACGTCGAAGTGACTGCGGAGTCGACCATTTTGTAGCCCCTCGATGCCCGTCAGATATTTGCCGACAAAATTGAGTTGTCTGCAAAAGAATTTTGGCTTTAGTTTTGATTGAAGTTTGATTAAAGTGCTGAAAGATTAAAGATTAAAATGGTTTTTAAACAAGAAAGTGATTTGTTTTAGCCCGACTCACCGACTCGGGACGACGGAGACATAAGATCCAGTAAAAGGGGAACAAATCGTTGCTCCAGCGAGGAGAAAATACCAAAACCAAGGGGAAAGAAAGATTTTCTCGTTGAACATATTGATCATCAAGACACATTGCACGGTGACGGTGCACATTGCCCAATACCTTAAATGAGAAAGTTTGGGTTTTGATTCGTTCAACGATGATTTGTTCAACTATGATTTGTTCAACGATGATTCATTCAACTGGCACAACTCTACGTTGTACAGTTGAGCGTTACTCTACGTTGTACAGTGTACTCGATCATTCATTTTGCAAAAGCCTTGAGTCTTTTGCAAGCCAATTTTTCAGAATGTACTTTGTGCTTGAAAGCTTTGGAAACAAGCTTTCTAGTGTACTTTTCTAATGTACTTTCTAGCAAAATTTTAGTGTACTTTCTAGTGTAACTTCCAATGTACTTCTAGTGTACTTTCTAGTGTACTTTCTAGTTGTACTCGATTCTACAGTCTGTATCACATCATCCTGGATCATTAGTTTTCCCTCTCTTTGTTGCTTTGCTTTTTACTTAATTTTCTTCTCTACCACTGTAATATTTAACTTTTTAGGTAAATGACAACTCCTGGATCGATTATCAATCGATAATCAATCGCTAATCGATAATCAATCGCTAATCGATTATCAATCGATAATCGATTATCAAAAAAGCCAAATTAATCCTCTACAATTAATCCTTTAATCAAAAAATGACTATAAAAGTGAAATCTTCTCATCAAACGATTGCTAGATACCTTGAAAACTCGAATCAATATGGAAAAAACCCTAACAGAATGCTTTTTTGATTGAGATGTCAGTCAAATTGCTAATAGCATTCATGAAAAATCGATATCTCAAGTCAAAAAAAAAAAAGACTCAACCTTGATGTTTCCAATATTCAATATGTTTCCAAAATGACAATTTGGCGATCATTTAAACAACGACCACCCAAGGAAAAGTTGTTGAAGTAATCAGCATTAAAACAAGAGCATAAGGATGCTAGATTCGCATTTGCACAGACGATAATGGCAAAAGATTGGTTCAAAGTTACCAAAGCATTAAAACAAGACGGAAAAAATCGAATGGTCTAAATGATGTACGACATTCACCTATCTTTTTGAGTTTTAAAATTGTTGCGTCGACAATCAAAAACAAGGTTTTTATACGTTGTTTGACATGGAAAATCATCAAGGAAACTTCAAGGAAAAAAAAAGAACTTCATCAAGGTTAGAGGGGATTAAGAAACTATGTATTTAGGTGGTCCAGATGATGTGATACAGACTATATAAGAGCATGTCTGTGGCTGCCTGTTTGTCTGTCTGTCTATCTGTTTGTTTGTCTGTCTGTTTGTCTGTTTATCTGTCTGTCTATCTTCTTGCTTTTTCTTTTGCTCTCAGTCTATCTGCCTGTATTTAAAAAATCGCGAAGCTGAGTGAAACATCCAGGAATCGAACCCGGCTCGTGTAATCCGTAGACAGGCGGGCTTCGACTGCGCCACGGCGTCAGACACTTTCCCCGAAAGAAAAACCGCTAAGCGAAGAAAAGCCATTAAGCGGATTTTTCGGCTAATTTAAGAAGAAAGGCTTATAAATGGAAATAATTTTAAATAATTCGAAACCAATACTCACTTTAACTTCAAAATCACAAAACGTAACACGGCGGAGTGACCCGACTCTAAAATATTTGTTCCTGATAAATAAAATTTATTGTTTTTATACCTTCCCACTCGCGTCCATTCATCAGATCGTTTAGTACCTGAATGAAAAGGAGATTTTAAAAGATCATTATAGTAGACTATTGAATATTACTATCTTCTTCTCTTTCTATCCATCAATAAACTCCACCCCTGCAATCCCGTACCATCGACTCCGATTGCCTAGGAATGTGGTGAGCAAAAAGATCTGCCCAATGATGTTCACCGTATACAAAATTTTTTGACACGGAAAATGAGTGAATAGTTAGCTTTATTTTGGATTGTAGATTTTGGTGATTGATGTAAACTTGGATGATTGGATTGAGATCGATTGAGATCGATTGAGATCGATTGAGATCTGGATTGAGATCTGGATTGAGATCTGGATTCAGACCTGGATTGAGATCTGGATTGAGATCTGGTTTGTGATCTGGATTCAGATCTGGATTGAGATCTGGGTTGAGTCTGGATTCAGATCTGGAATTGAGATCTGGATTGAGATCTGGATTGAGATCCGGATTGGGAGATCTGGATTGAATCTGTTGAGATCTGGGTTGAGATCTGGGTTGAGATCTGGATTGAGATCTGGGTTGAGATCTGGATTGAGATCTGGATTGAGATCTGGAGATTCAAATTTGGATTGTAATTTGGATTGAGATCTGCATCGGAATTTGGATTCTCTGCAAATCTGCATCAAAATTTAGATCAAAATTTAGATCAAAATTTGGATTGAAATTTCCATTGAAACCCCATTGAAATCCCCATTGAAACCCCATTGAAATCCCTATTTAAATTAGCATTTAAACTTTACTTATCCATATTTTATCAATAGAAAGTAGAAATCTAGAGGAAATCCTAGAGGAATTTCTCTAAAAAAACTCTCACAGAAATATAGAGAAACGTGACGGCAGCGTGATGATCGAGTGCAAATGATCAAATTGAGCAGTTTGAAACGATTGCCGACATCTGAAAGTGATATTATAAAATTTAAACTCATAAAACATTTAAACTAATAAAACATTTAAACCAATAAATCGTTTAAACTAATATAACATTTAAAATCAAACTTTAAACATTTAAAATCAAACTTAAAATCAATAGAATAACTCATTTAACTAAAAAAGAAAGCGATTTTTGTGTTGGCTTTTCGATATGGCTTCGATATGGCTTCGATATGGCTTTTGGGAAGAAAATCATCTTTTTGGGATAGCCGAAACTTGACTTTGCTAGCAAACTCGACTTTGTCGTTGTTTTTAGGAAAAGAAACGATTTACCTTGTTGAAAATTGGTCCTTGTCTAGTCTGGATTGATAAATATTTGATTGAAATCACAAAATGAAAGAAATGAAATGAAAGATTTAAAAAGAAAATGAAGAAAATTTAAAACAAATGCTTTTTCTATTGAATGTTTGCCTTCTACAAGGGCTTCTACAAGGCCTTCAAAGACCTTCTACAAGGCCTTCTACAAGGCCTTCTACAAGGCCTTCTGCCTTCTAAAATGTGTAACTACTGCAAACTGCTGAAAACGTCTAAAAACGTCTGAAAACTTCTCAAAACTACTGTGGTTTGTCTATTTTCTAGTTTTTCGTTGATTTTAGAAGAATTTGAGGAAAAATGATTGGATTAAGAAGACAAGATTACGGTAGCCAAGACTCAAGGACACATTCTAGCAATGAACTTTTGAAGCATAACTTTTCCTTCTTCCTGGCTTCGTGTCCCTTGTGTTTCCTTTTTTTCTCTCGCTAGTTAAGGGACTGGATAGCTCAGTGGATAGAGCGGTGGAGGTCGGAGAAGGGAAGCAACTCGAGGGTTCGATCCCCTGTCCGGAAATCTTCTTTTTCTTCCCAATTCCAACACTTCTTTTATTCTTCCTGATTGATTTTTGGACTTAAAGCCCTCCTTTTCACTCACCACTTGATGTTTGACATGTAATGCTTCTTCAACATTATTCGCTATCGTTTCAATGCTCTTTTCCTGCCATCAGCATCCAATAATCGCGAATCGCATGCCATTTGCACCAATGATTGCACGTGAATGCCTAGGAATATAGGAGATGAGTCCCTAGAATACCTAGAATATAGGAGATGAGTCCCTAGAGTACCTAGAATACCTAGAATATAGGAGATGAGTCCCTAGAATACCTAGAATGTAGGAGATGAATACCTAGAATACCTAGAAAATAGGAGATGAACCCCTAGAATACCTAGAATATAGGAGATGAACCCCTAGAATACCTAGAATATTTTTCAAGCCTTATCCTTCTCCTTCAAGCCTTATCTTCTCCTTCAAGCCTTATCTTCTACAATTCTTTTCCTTCCAAGCCTTATCTTCTCCTTCAAGCCTTATCTTCTCCTTCAAGCCTTATCTTCTCCTTCCAAGCCTTATCAAAGCCGATATTTTGTTCACTTCAACTGAAAGGTTTAAAACAAAAAACTGAGAAATTTGTATCCGACGATAATTTGTATCTGTTTACTATCGGAATATTGCTTTCTTTGAGGCCTTTAATACCCTATTTTGATACCTTCTTTATCTTTGATCTTCTTTATCACCTCAACCTCTTCTAGACTTGCTTGTGGTTGGTTGTGTGGAATGGGCAAGGGGTAAAGAGGGAAAGAGAGGGGAGAGAGCAAAGGGAAAAAGAGGTAACCTCATCCTCGGGCAAATTTATTCCCTCCTCACTATAGAGTGCGAAAAAGGAAGAGAAAGAAAGAGCAATTCAATTTTTTTTCGACAACGTAAAAGGAGAAAAAGAGAGTTAGACCTTTTATCTCTTTTTCTTTTTCTTTTTTTCATTCAAAGGCTCCATGTGGCCCTTCTTTTTTCCAAATGTGACCCTTCTTTTTCTTCTTTTCTCTTTCTTTTCCTTACGGGCTATTCCACCGAATCGACGATGAAGATCCCCATTGAAACAAGGCTGAACTAGAGGAGAACAAGGTGGAATAATAATCAAAAAATCTGGTCAAAATTGGTCAAAATCCGAGTCGATGTGAGTAAAAATGGGGAAGAGAATAGGGAAGATGGCTCAAAATTGGGAAGAGAATAATAGGAAGAATCTCAGGGAAGAGGCACCATTTAGTGGTGATTGAGAATCGCTACTTGTCCGGTGCAAATCATTTGATGTGAGTCAAACTCGGTTAAGCAAGTTCGCTCCTAAAGTGACAATTCGTTGAGGGTGCATTAGTGTTCAGGAGTGAAGTAGAGTGTTCGTCCAGTGAAATAGAGTGCTCGATGATCGGGTCGATCGGTACAGAATCTCGGCAAGTTAAATGTCAGAATAAGCGGAAAAACGCTTACTAAAGGTTGGCTCCCCCCTCGCCCCTTTTTGTCGAATGGCAACAGACACACAGACGGATGAGACGTCTCTTCTGTCGATGGCAACAGACGGATGGACGGATAGACGTCTCTTCGTCGATGCAAATGACGGACGGACGGGATAGACGTCTCTTCGTCGATGGCAACAGATTGATGGACGGATAGACGTCTCCTCCGCCGATGGCAAAAGGATGAACCCTCTCTTTGTGTGGAAAGACTCTTCTGTGTGGAGGATGAGGGACTCTCTGTGTGGAAGAGAAGGTGACTCTTCTGTAAAACAAGGTGCTCTTTCTGTGTGGAAAGGTGAGGTGGGTCCTTGGAAAAGTGGAGAGGGATCTTGTCGTGGAAAGTGAGGAATCTTCTGTGTGGAAAGAGCTCCTCTGTCGTGGAAAGGGAGGAGAGTCTCTTCTGTCGATGAAAGAAGCGTCTCTTTCGGGGTCCTCTTCAACAGACGGATGGATGATAAACGTCTCTTCTGTCGATGGCAACAGACGGATGGACGGATAGACGTCTCTTCTGTCGATGGCAACAGACGGATGGACGGATAGACGTCTCCTCTGTCGATGGCAACAGACGGATGGACGGACAGACGTCTCTTCTGTCGATGGCAACAGACGGACGGACAGACGCCTCTTCTCCTTTATATATAATAGGTAAACTACCCTCTTTATTTACCCCAAAGAATCCCATTTTTCGACTCATCGACATCTTTAGGCGAAATGGAGAGACCCCCTGCACGTGGCGAGATGGCCGAGTGGTCTAAGGCGCCAGTTTAAGGCAATTGGGCCTCTTCGAGGCGTGGGTTCGAATCCCACCTCGTCAGAATTTTTTGCTGTTTTCCAAAGAAAACATCAATTCACTTTCTAAGTACATCGAAATTTGATCCTCTATTTTTTGCATCCCTTTTTTTCGCTTTCCGGCTCTTCAAGCTCCGGGGAGAAGAAAGATTCGAGAAAAAAAAAGAAAAAACAAAAATAGAGCTTCTCACATGTCGCTTCTTCATGAAAAGTCAAGAGAGAGCAAGAAAAAAACGAGCAAAACGAGGAAAACGAGGAAAAAAGCGGAAAATCGAGCTCTTGAAAAAGAGAAAAACTTTGTCTATGAGTCAAAATGGAATCGAATGACGTTGAAAGAATGGCTTGGTTGTAAGAAAAACAGGAATGGCTTGGTTAGGTAATTAGTTTTGAAGTTTTGAAGAGGGGGTGATGGTTTTGAAATTTTGGTGTTCAAAACGGGAATGATTATGTCAAGATTTTGAGTCGAATTTGGGTTGAATGAAAAATGATGGAGATTGTTTTTAGGTTAATATGAGATTCGTTAATTCTTTAGCGCTTTAAGAAGCGGAAAACTATTGTTTTCCGAAAACGGGAGCCTTTAAGCAAGTTAAATAAAGAAGAAGAAGAAGAAGAAGGGAAGTAAAGAAGGGAAGTAAAGAAAGCAAGTAAAGAAAGCAAGTAAAGAAGGCAAGTAAAGAAGGGAAGTAATATGTAAGAAAGCAAGAGAAGGGGAAGTAAAGAGGAAGTAAAGAAGGGAAGTAAAGAAAGCAAGTAAAGAAGGGAAGTAAAGAAAGCAAGTAAAGAAGTCTCTTCTTCAAGTCTCTTCTTCAAGTTTCTTCTCCAGGTTTTTTTTGCTGTCAAAACTTGATTTTTTCCATTTTAAAGCACCATTTTAAAGCACAGTTGTGACAGAGAAAAATTTTGATTTTTGATAAGGAAAGGGTTTTCGTTAAAGCTCTT